TCGAGTCCGAGAAGACGACATTCCAAAAACTGCTTTCCGAACTCGTCGCGACCATTTCAAATTCGTTGTGATACCCTTCGGTCTAACGAATGCTCCCACGACATTCATGAACCCTACTAACAGAGTTTTCCCAACCATTCCTAGTCAGCCTTTTTATTTTATTTTCATCAATAACATACTCTTCTACTCTCGAAGCAAGAACAAAACACTGTCAACACCTACGACCGGCCTTGGAAAGCATCAAAGCCGAAGAATATCGTGGAGGAAGCACTACGTGGATCGAGATAACGAAATTACTTCAAGATTTTGAAAGTCACTTCAGAAGACTATGGGAATACAACTTGTCATGAGTATTGCTTACTACCCTCAAACCAATAGCCAAAGCGAACGGACCATTCAACCACTCGAAGTCATGCTCCAAGTCTGGGAGTTTGAATTCAACAAGTCGTGGGATACCCAGTTGCCTTTTGATTGAATCCTCATACCATAACAGCTATCGCACGAGAATCAAGTTGCCCCTTTCGAGACTCTTTATGGTCCTAAATGCAGATCACTCGCCAGTACTCTCACGGGAGCAGAAACCATTCGCGAAACAACAGAGAAGATAATCCAAAATCCGAACTCGACTTCAAGCAACACGAGACAGACAGAAGAGATATGCTGACAAACGACGAAAACATCTGGAATTCTAAGTCGAAGGCCGGGTACTATTGAAAGTCTTTCCCTAGAAAGGAATGATTCGCTTTACGAAACGGGAAAACTGAACCCGCGATACTTTGGACCGTTCGAGATTCTTTCCCGGATTGGTCCAATGGCTTATAGGCTGCAACTACTTGCCGAACTCAACAACGTACACCCCGTGTTCCGCGTATTGAATATGAAAAAGTGCGTATTTGATGAAACTCTCGTTATACCTTTAGAAGAGATCAAAATAAACAAGAATCTCCTGTTCGTCGAAGAACCAGTCGAGGTATTGGATAGGGAAGTAAAGCGTACAAAACAAAGCCGCATTCTGATTGTGAAGGTTCGATGGAACGCCAAGCGTAAATTGGAATTCACATGTGAACGCGAAGACCAGATGAAGCAGAAGTACCCTCACCTATTCCCTCATTCATGATCCTACCTTTCGAAAGAATTTCGGGACGAAATTCCCTCTAACGGGGGGATAATGTCACAACTGGCATTTTTGCTAGGAAATTCTATTCTCATGAAACCATCATCTAATGTAAGGCTTGTACTCTAAGTGAATACTACACTCTATGCTCGTTCAAATACATCTCATATGGGCAAGTAAGGGTTGGAAACCCTAGAAATCCCGGATCAGGTTCATTATGGACTAGGATTCTCTTATTGGGCCTAAGGGACCAATAAATCATCAATTCATCAAATTTATAACATTTTGGAACATTTGGGCCGAGAATGATTCATTCTAACCCTAATGGGTCTTCTTGGTCCATAACAACTCCAATTAACCTTAATGGACCTTAGAACCCATTCTTTTATACTATTGGACCGTGAGGTACCCTAAAGGCCCAATGGGCCGAAAATTTTATGATTAGGCTCCAAAAAAAAAAATCCAAACGAAAGTTTAATGGGCTCAAACTATTCTATTCCTACCTTCTAAGCCCAATTCTCGGCCCATGCTAAAAAGAGAAAAAAAAGGGGAAAAAAAGGATTAAGGAAGGAATTAGGAGGTGATGACAACTCATAATTGTCTAATATACTTCTAAGTAATCACAAACATCCATGAAATCTTTACCCTCCATGCAAGGCCTTCTCTTCCTCCCCTATTTCTCCCACTCTCGGCCAAGATACACACACACACTTCATTTACAAACTCTCTCAAATAATCTCTCAAACACTCACAAGAACACTCCTATACTTTCCTCTAAATTTTCGAGTTTTGTGTGTGGTTTCAAGAGGAGTTTTCATCAAAGATCATCATCCTTGGTAAGATCTCACAAACTAAGTTGATTTACTACATCTTTAAACTAAAAATCACTCCTCTTACACCATATTTTCGTGGATCATGATTCTTAGAACCATCCAAGTTCAAAAACCTCTTCAAGAGGCTTGCTAAAGTCGAGATCTCCTTCAATCTCTTCATCAAACCTAATCCAAACCCCAAAAGTGAGTTCATACCCGCTTGTTTTCGGTTTTTACTTTGTTTTGGGGGAGAATACAAGTTGTGTTGTGTAGATCTATGTGTGTATGCATGAATATGTGTGTTTTTCATGATTTATTTGGTGGTTATGTGTTATTTACTTCATAAATCTAAAAGTATGTTAAGAATATTAAGTTTATCACTTGGATCTACATGAAAACCTTGAGAAAAGTATGTGTTATCACATATAATACATGTAAAATAGTAGATCTGGGATTTATACACTTAAAATAGTAAAAATGAGTGTTGTGTTCAAAGATCTATAAACTAAACTAAAAAATCAGCCTTTCACAGGAAAGTTTTGGTCCAATCTCGAACTGTTTTGACCACCTAAATGATAATATTTTTCGAAACTGTTTTTCATGCAACAAGTTCAGATTTCTACCTTTAAAATGACTACTCTCACGTTTTCATACGATTTTTCTACAATTTTTGGCGAATTTTACAAAACTGCCTATCAGATTTGAAATAATTTCGGACCAGCTTGTGAAGGTGAGCAATTTCACACTTGTTAGAAGCCATTAAAAATTATGAGAAAAATTGTGAACAAAGTAGACAAAATTTCCAAACTTCCTGAATTTACGGATCCAAATTTCCACTTACGATGATTTTTCTACAAATTTTCCAACAACTAGGTCAGAAAAGCCCAAAACCAGAAAAATGTGTGTTTTCACAAGAATCAAACCAAAGATGATATTTTTGACAAAAATGGGTTTAAAATGCTATTTTTACCACAAACTAGTCATCAACACAAGGTTTGAACAAAATGGAGACTAAAGTGTTATTCTTACAAAAATTGGGCCTTAATTGTAAATTTTTGGCTTATTGGGCCAAGAACATCATTTTTACAAAAAGTGGGCTTTTATGCGATTTTAGTGAATACTTGAACCAAAACCAACGATAAACTAACAAACGAATCAATTTGATCATTTTATAGGTTATTGGGCCTTAGTGACCCATTTATATGTTTGATAGGTCCTGTATACTATTTATATGTTTATTGGGCCTCATGACCCATTAACATGTGCGACGGACCTTGGATACTATTTGTGTGCTATTTGGCCTGTAAATACTTTACATGTGAAATGGGCCTTAGTTGCCCTTTCATATATATTTCGGGCCCATGTTATATAATCTCATTCCAATTGGGCCTTGAAATGATTTACATATTTAGCGATGCCTTAGTGGTTCACTTACATGGTTCATTGGGTCTGAAATGAGTTTATACTTTTCTTCGCGTAAATTCGATTAAAGATCTAGTGAGTTTTGTCGGTTGGCACCTATTAAGTGTACGATCGTAGCCTGTAGTTATAACCAGAGTCTCTTGGAGGGAGAGCAAGGATTTGTGTATAGATCTATACGGGGATGACACCCCACACCTGAGCTGTTCGCTACAGTTAGACTAACTCAGTCTAGGGTGACGAAAACCTTATAATCAAAAATCAAAACCGACGTCCAACAACACCAAGACATGCGAAATTGTCATTATTTAGTATGGTTATGACGACTCACTTAGAGGAATTAACGTTATGAAGTTTACGGAAGACCATTCTCTTTTCTCTTGGATTACTCGGAAACATTCTCGTACTGGTACTCAACCTCGGGGGTTGGTATGGCAGCTTTCTCTTTTATAGGCAACATCAGATTGTCTGGGAACATTCTCTTTACATGCTCATTACATTCCCTCTACATTCTCTTTACCACTTTTAGTCAAATAAACAAAAACATACATGCATTAATACAAGATCTGACACAAACATACTAAACAGTTGCAGAAAATATCGGATTTTCTGGTGGTTTCAAAGTTATACAAATCATTTTCACAAACATGCTTATGAACTCACCAACATTATATATGTTGACGTTTTCAAAATAACTTGTATTCTCAGGAAACCGTTGAAGCAGGATGAACGAAACAAACTAATGGATATTGTGTTATATTTTGTTTCATCATATTCTTACTATTTTGGCATGTAATATTCAAATACAATACTCGATGTAAACAATGAATGTTGTTATATTACATGTGTGATAATGATGATGTTATGTTTCAATTATATACTCTGTAATGATACTACAACAATGAAGTCACGCACAAGCCCCCGGACGTTTCCGCCGTCTGGTTCGGGGGTGTGACATTAGGCTAACCAAAAATAGTTTAAGTATTTATAGTTTTATTTACCTTCATTGGAAATACAAGTTTTCACTCTAAGCACATCCACAATGCATAGTTTAATGAAAGAGTTGAATGAGAATGTATGTCTAACTAACATTCAATGGATTTAACTTTACCATTGTGAGATGTCATGTTGACATTTAATTGATATGTTCAATGAAAAAAATAATCTATTAAAAATATATTCCATTGAACTTTATAGAGTTCAATGCATTATAGATTAATTAATATGAAGTTTTATAGAAAATAAAATGATGGTGTGTTAATCCATTAAACCGTAGATGTCCTAAATACTTTTTTGTTACATTAATTGATTTTGTCAAATGGAATTAATGGTTTTTGATTCACCTTTGTCACAGGAACAAAAATTTATGGATAGAGTTGGTCCTCGATTTTGATTGGTCAAGGATTCATTGATCAATATGGTCTCTCATCTCTGGTTCTGATTCGGTCATTTTCTGCCACATTTTTTTGGCCGTGGAACCTAAGCGCGCAAACCTCTTCATCCATCTTTTTTGGTAGTTCTTTGACTGAGGACCTCGTCAAATTGATTTGTTCATCCTTATATTTTGGTGGTTCTTTGAAATCCTTAATGTGGTCTCTTTTTACAACATTTTTTGTAAATATATTCCAAATCTCGTTTCACCTTATACAATCACCATGGCCGACCGCCACCCTCCCCGTAATACAATCACCATGAACCTTCCATCCGAGATACTATTTTTCCATATACTACCGAGGGTGCCACTCAAAGCTCTACCCAATGTAATGTGTGTTTGCAAGAAATGGCACTCGTTCTTAAAGTCAAGTGTATTTGCCAAGACGTGCCATGACCACATAACCACCGATGACGACGACCATGATCAAAACCATCACAAATATCCAGTCTTATCTACCACCAAACCATACCACTTTCGTAGCATCGACTGTAAATCACCTAAAGATTCTTTAAAGGATGTCCGTCGATTACCGTTAAAGACACCATATAATGATAATTGCAGTCCCGGAAACATGTCTATTTTAACATCTTTGCATGGACTGTTATGCGTAGGCACATCCAAGGGCGAACATTCTCAAGAATATTCGGATCTAATTTTATGGAATCCTTTGACAGGTGACTATAAGACTTGCCGAAACCTAAAAACGGCTGTGATCATAAAGAATGTTACAAGTCCTCTGAAGGTATATTTGGGTTGTATTATATCTCTTCTGATGATGACTACAAGCTTTTACGTCTAACCCATCATCCGAAAATTTATATTTACACATTAAGATCCAATTCATGGAGAAAGGTCGAATCAACAGAGAACTTGGAATTCCAACAAAGGGCTTCCTACTGGACTTCACTTCGATGTTACTGGGAGAATCCAAGTCATATTCTGTTGAATGAAAAACTCTACTTTTTAATGCAGCTAGATAGAAGAAGAACCTTTATTCAGTCATATTCAATTATCAGGTTCGACACAAAGACTGAAAACTTCACAGAGGTAGCAGTTCCCTCTTTTGGAAATCAAATGACAGACTGTTTGGGTTTCATGGTTCTAAGAGGGTGCATCCACTTCTGTGTCGCCATTCTCATTGAGAAAGAAACTAATAACGAAAACCAATGTTGTTATGAAATGATCGAGTTGTGGAGGATGGATGGAGATGGAGATGGAGATTGGACGAAGGTGTTAAGTTATGGCCCCATGTCGTTTTTTATATGGAAGCGATCGCTACTGCACGTGATGGGGAATGGAAATTTGCTCATTCAGCAGAATGGTGATGTTTACCTATTAGATATTAAGAAGCATACAAAGGAAATGGTGTTTACATGTAAAAGCATTAATTACCAACTCTCCCCAACAGGGAAATACATTGAGACTATCTCCCCAGTAGGGAAATACATCGAGACTACTCTTTCACCACATCTATACGTATGAACTAATTAACATCTTCATCATACTCTTTAAACCTAATGGTTTTTGGTTTTATAAGTATTAAATATGTTTTCTTCTTAATTTATGGTTTTGTATTCAACTTTTTTCAACACTTTTGTCCCGTTTAATTAAAGTTTCATGTAGTTTTCAAAAGATCAATTTTCGGATGTTAAAAAAAATTGTTTATGTCTGCTATAAAAGTGAAAGTGAAACCAAGTCGTTTAACAGTTCATATGAATAAAATAGGATGTCATATTAAACAAATAAAGGAAAATACGTTACTTGTTTTAAATATTTTTTCCTCCAAAAGATGACCCACCATCTTCTTAATTTTGTCATAAATAAATCTTAAAAATCTTGTTAATTACAAGGTAAATCACAAAAATCATTGTCATCTCCAGGTGCATAAATGGATGATGAAAAAAAAAGGCTTAGAATGGCGTACCAATAGCTCGCGGTGGACATATGTAAGTTATCTTTAACATTTTTTTTGATATTTTTCACTTAGCTTTTAGTACAATAACAATCATATTATTTTGGTACATTGTAGGAAGTATATCAAGCCATGATCGACAACTATGAGGAAGATCAGCGGTGGATTCAAAGAGAACTGAGTGGGGGCACTTGCCCCCAATGATCTATTCTATACATAATAATTTGAAAAATTCAGATGAGTTTCTTTAAAATTATGTGGTGTCCTCAACAGCTCAACCACATAAAAGGAAGGTGCCCTTCAAGAAACTGAAGATCATATGTGATCTGAAGATCGCAGAGACATTGGTTATGAGTTTGGGTTGGGCTCATTTGCTTTTGAGGTTAATTTTTTTTTTCTAAGCTTCAATTTTCTTCTGTAGTGTGTTTGTGTGTTTATATATACAAGAATAACTCAAAGACTATTAGCCTAAAGGCTAGGATGATTAGAGGGAGGAATTCTGTCTTTCTTACTGTTTTCATTTCCTTTTCACTGTGTTCAATGTGTGTGGAGTTGGAGCACATTACCTTTGTTTATTATATACATTTTTATTTTATTATTTTTCACCGTAAAACATTTTATGTGAAGTACATTATATTTATTTTTTATTATATATTTCTATTGTTTGTATGTATTATTCGAATATAAGGATTATTATCTATAATTTTATCATGCATTTACTTACAGATATATGTATTTGTTAACCAAATTAAATAAATATAATGTTATGTTTTTAATAAAATGTAATATGAAACAAGTTTTGTTAACAACGTTAATCTTTATTGCAATATCATTATGTATTTGTAAACCATATTAAATAAATTTCAACAACGCTATGTTCGATTTCTGTTAAAAACGTCAATCTTTATTGTAAATATCATTATGAGCAAACCCGATCATATTATTGAACGCTAGGCACTAGCTAGTGCCCCCTATGATGAGAATTCTTGAATCCGCCACCAGGGAAGATGTCACTCAACATCCGGAGGATGATGTTGAACTTTCGGAACAGAGTCAGGGAGAAAGAAGGGTAGTACTTTTTGGATTAGATCTTCAGATCTCAGGTTGGCAGTGACAAAGTCAGCCTCTTATGGGTGTGACGTGTCCTATGTTGAGTATACAAAGTCGCAACAAGAGGTATACTTTGTAATAAATTTATTGTGTTTTTATAGAGAAAAATAAAGTACAGTGTTATTACGGATAAAAAGTAAACTTTGTTGCCCATGTTTATAAAAAAAATATTTTATGTTGCTATTGTAGGAAAAGAAATCATGTTACGATTACATAAAAATAAAGTGCTTTTCTTATTACGGATAAAAAAGTAAGGTAAAATGATATTATGAATAAAAATAAAAATATGTTGTTAATATGGATAAAAAGGTATGTACATTATATTGGTTAAAAGAATATAGTATGTTTCTAATATGGATAAAAAAATAAAATATGTTGCTATTATGTATAAAAAAAAATTAATCGGAGAAACTGTTGAACCAGATGAATTAGATCAAAAAATTTCAGCATTCGACATTGGAACAGATTAATCGAGATAAGGAAACGATGATCTGAACAACCGAGAAAGAAATTGAAGACTGACCTAAAACGATTCAAAGAAAAAATGATAAAATTTCAAGAACAAACAGCGGAATTCGAGCGATTGTGCGCTGATACCATATTACATGAACAAGAAATGGAAAGAACGAATATTCTTTTATTCACTGAATCTTATTACATCCCTTTTCTATATATACAGCAAGAGTAAAACACAGAATAGAAACAGAGGCGGACGTAGTATTTTACAGTAGTGGTTGCACGAGAGAGTTAGTAGTTGCACGGTAGTAGAAAAAATAAAAATTTCTAAAAAATTTCGAAAAGTTTTCCACTGCGGCCGAAAAAGTTAGGGGTTGCCGGTGCCACAATGAACCACCCATAGGTCCGCCCCTGATAACAAATTGTATTGTAAATTTACTTATCTGTCGTTCTCATTCTCTAATATTAATACATTGTCATTATGTATAAAAAATAAAATATGTTGCTATCTATATATCTATTATAAAATAAATATTTTTATTAAACATATTGATTTGAAAGTCTTATAGTTTTTAACTTCCTTTTTAATTAGTACATTGAATCTTTTATTATTCTAATTTTAATATTAACTCTTTATTTTTAACCAAATTATTTAATTTGTTAATTAAAATATAGTCTTAAATTCAAAACAAAAAATATATGTTTTCTTTGTTCACTTGAAATCCTACTACAATTATTAATGTAATAGATTTAATTTGTTAATTGAATGAAAATCTCAAATATACTTATAAAAATTTGTATAAACACAATTTTTTTATGTTAATTGGTTTAGATATAATGCTTAAGATACACCCCTTATCTGTTTCAATCCCTTATACTTAGAAAAAAAAATATATCTTATTCAACTTCTTTTAAGTTAGTATATTAAATCATTCATTAATCTAGTTATCATATTAACTCTTAATTTTTCAACCTAATATACTTAATTTTTTAAGTAAAATTGTGTTAAACTCAAAACATAAACCAATATACATTCTTTTATTTATTTAAAACCCTCGCTACAATTATTAATCAACTGCATTTTATTTGCTAATTGAAATATAGTATTAAATGAAAAACATAAATGAAAATCTCAAATACACTTATAAGAATTTGTGTAGATAATATTTTTATGTCAACTTTTTAGATATAATGCTAAATATACACCTATATCTTTTCAATCCCTCATACCCACAAAAAAAATGTTAAATTCAACTTCCTTTTTTAGTTATTATATTACATCATTCGTTAGTATAACTATAATATTATCCCTTCATTTTTCAATCCAATATACTTTATTTGTTAATTTAAATATAATATTAAATATAAAACATAAACTCAGTTTCATGTGTTTATACGAAGCGCATATATAAAGTTTGTTAATTTAATATATATAATTTATTTGTTAGTTTAAATATAATGTTAAATATAAAACATAAACTCATATATTTCATGTGTTTATATGAAACGCTTATATAAAGTTTGTTAATTTAATATGATGCTAAATTTAAAACTATAAATGAAAACCTTAAATACACTTAGAAAAAAGATTTCAAAATACTATTTTATATAATATTAAAAATAAAAGATAAATCAAATTGTCTAATTAATTTTTCTATAATAATAAAATCTAAGAAAATAAGTTTCAAATTGATTATCCATTAATAGTTAACATAACTATAAATAAAAAATGAATGTATTTTCATGTTTAATCTGGGATGAGAGGCTATCAAGATGATGTTTTAATGTGTATTTCTCTTCTTGTATATTCAAAATATATATAACGTTTTATAATGTAATAATTATCAATTCGAAGTTAATAATAATGATATAGTTATTTCCGATAATATATGTTTTTTCAAAAGTTTTATTACATTATTATATTATGAGCATTGATCAAATATTCACCTATTATTAGTAAAATGAATATAGTATGATGCTGATATGGATAAATAACTAAGTATGTAGCTATTATGTATGAAAAATAAAGTATGTTTCTATTTTGGATAACAAATATGCAAGGACGTTGTATTTAATGGTAAAAATTAATATAATATTATGTTATTACGGTTATAAAAATAAAGTATGTTTCTGTTTTGGATAACAAATATGCAAGGACGTTGTATTTATTGGTAAAAATTAATATAGTATTATGTTATTACGGTTATAAAATATAGCATGTCAATATTATGTATAAAAATAATGTGTTGCTATTTATTGGATAAAAAAATATAATGTGTTTCTATTTTAGTAAAAAGTAAAGTACAATGCTATTTTGGATAAAAAAGAAAGTATGTTGCTATTATAAATAAAAGATGATAATATGTAGCTATTGTTAAAAAATATAAGTACATTATCAATATCGGGAAACAAATAATATATGTTGATATTATTAACTAAAAATAATGTATGTCTTCATATGGAAAAAATGTTAATATATATTTTTTTGTTTTACTAATTATATATTTTTTTGCTTACTAATAACATCTTTGTTTTAACATTTTTTACATACAAGAGTTGTACATTTAAATGAAAAAAAAAGCATATATATATATATATATATATATATATATATATATATATATATATATATATAGGTTAGAGCGTTGCAATTCCAAATGGAAAGGGAAAGAAAATGACAAGAAGTACAAGATGCAAGATCAAATTGCAATAGAAAGGGAAATAGATCGAAAAGTACGAGAAAAGATGCAAGACCAAATCCTCTCTAATAAATGATGGTTTTTTTTGGCCACTTGTCACACTCTTATTTAATTTGCCAAATGTCATTTTGTGGTTATTTTAAATTAATTTTTTCCACATATCATTTTATGAGTTTTTCTATTTTATTAAATTCTATATAATATTTAATATAATAATTGCAATAAATATAGTAATAAATGGATATTAATTTGACTAATAAATTTACCTTTTAATTTTAAAATTCTCAAAATTAAAACTTATTAGTTTCTTTTCTTTGTTTAAATTATTTGCTTAAATATAAAAGATAAAAAATATTTCCATTATAATAAATCATTATTTTTCTTATTTTCTTATAAATTCAAAGTTCTTAAATATTTTAACCTTTATATTTATCTTTTTTTTTTTTTTTAAATTTACTCATGTAATACATGGGTCTCACAACTAGTTGCAATACGCAAATATCGAAATTGATGAACCGATCTTGTTACCATCCCAACAATCCCCCAAACTTATTCTAGTTTCTTGTGTTTGGTAATTTTATACAATTGTTGAAAAATAATATTCACTATATTTGTGGTCCCTCTTTTCCTTCTATTTTTCCCTCAAAGAATATATACTTGCCTTTGAAAAGGTAAGGGACTTGAGGGACTTAAGGTCCTTAAATAGGGTAAAGACCCTAAAAATTAGTGTTTTCATCTCACTGGAGTATGCCCCGCGTACTCCTAGTGCTCACATCGTACTTCATAAGATGCTCACGATCCTTCTGCCTACTACGCCCTGCGTACTTCCTTGTACGCCCAACGTACTAGGCTTAGCTTTTAAACCATTAAACATCCAGAAGCCATAAATTCTTCGTTCTACGTCCGATTTCGACGTTCTTTATATCCACAGAAAGGTAA